GTCTGAGTAGACAATACCTGAGACCCTGGAGAGAGCAGCTGCCGGTCTGAGTAGACAATACCTGAGACCCTGGAGAGAGCAGCTGCCGGTCTGAGTAGACAATACCTGAGACCCTGGAGAGAGCAGCTGCCGGTCTGAGTAGACAATACCTGAGACCCTGGAGAGAGCAGCTGCCGGTCTGAGTAGACAATACCTGAGACCCTGGAGAGAGCAGCTGCCGGTCTGAGTAGACAATACCTGAGACCCTGGAGAGAGCAGCTGCCGGTCTGAGTAGACAATACCTGAGACCCTGGAGAGAGCAGCTGCCGGTCTGAGTAGACAATACCTGAGACCCTGGAGAGAGCAGCTGCCGGTCTGAGTAGACAATACCTGAGACCCTGGAGAGAGCAGCTGCCGGTCTGAGTAGACAATACCTGAGACCCTGGAGAGAGCAGCTGCCGATCTGAGTAGACAAGACTGGCCTTGATAGACCAAGGGTCTGATTCAGTATAAGGCAGTGTTCATGTGAGCAGCTTGGTCGCTCCGCCTCATTCTTGCGTCTTCTCTCCAGGTTCCGCCAGCAACTGCCACCCCAGCTACAGCATCCTGGTCACCAGCACTATCGAGCTCTCCGTCGTCTACAGGTGAGGGGAGAAGGCAAAGCAGGGGGCCTGACGGAGCACCTGGCGGGCTGCCGGCTCTTCAGTTGGTGTCTCCTGCCTGCCTTCCAGGAACATCCTGCAGAACGGCCTGGAGGAGCAGCTGGTCCTGCCGGCGAGTGACCAGCATGACAGCGTCATCTGCGCCCTGGTGACAGACGTCGACTTCGACCGCGAACCCGAGATCCTGCTGGGGACCTACGGGCAGGTGGGTGACGTGATGGGGCGTGGCCGTGGCTCGGGGGCAGAGCATCTGCTTGACATACAGAAGGCCCCAGGTTCAGTCCCCGGCATCTCCAGTTAAAAGGACCAGTCAGTAGGTGATGGAAAAGACCTCCGCCTGAGACCCTGGAGAGCCATGAAGTGGGGCTGTGGCTCAGTGGCAGAGCCTCTGCTTGGCATGCAGAAGGTCCCAGGTTCAGTTAAAAGGACCAGGCAGGAAGTGATGTGAAAGACCTCCGCCTGAGACCCTGGAGAGCCATGAAGTGGGGCTGTGGCTCAGTGGTAGGGCACTTGCTTGGCAGGCAGAAGGTCCCAGGTTCAATCCCCGGCACCCCCAGTTAAAAGGACCAGACTGGAGGTGACTCCACAAACTAATGCATGCAGCAACCAAATCGCTCGCTCACAGCTTTAATGCCAGCAGCTCACAAAGTAGAATTTTTGCTCACGAGACTCCACGTCTTAGAGGGAGCATTGCTTTGGAGCCCTCCTTCCTGAGCGAAGACAAAAATGTGTGGCCCGGGGGCTAGAAAACTGTGAGCTAGCTCACACTCACTCAGCTCAGAGGGAACACTGCTCCCAACGCAGACCGGTTCTACAGTCGCGCAGGGTAGAAACTCGCTTTCAGAGAGAGAGAACAAGGCTGCAGAGGGCTTTGGGGACCCACGCTAGAGGCCGCGCTGATCTTCAGGAGGCGGTTTGAGACGGCAGCTTCTTGTGCCTTGTAGGAACTGCTGTGCTACAAGTACGTCCTGCCCGATGGGGAGTTCCGCCTCCTTTGGCAACGCGCCTTCCCCAGCCCCCTGCTGTCCATGGAGTACGTCGACCTGACCTGCGACGGACTCTGCGAGCTGGCCGTGGTGTGCCTGAAGGGGCTGCACATCCTGCAGGTGCGGGGGTGCGGGGGTGGGCTTGGGATTTCGGGGGGAGGGGCAGAGAGTCCCACCTGCAGCCGGGGTCCTCCGTGCTGGGGTCAGCATTTCGGAGACATCAAGTATCACAAGACTGAGATGCCTGTAGGAGAACGCTTCAGCCATTTAAAACACTTAAGCCCCCCTGAGCTTGCTTCGGTGGGGAGGGTTAGGGTATAAATCCAACAAAATAAATACCTTTCAGGACATTCAGTGGGGGACCTCAAAGTAGCTGTCTTATTGCAAAGGAACTTCGGGGACAGAGTTGGAAGGGGAACTGCTGAGTTGCAAGTTATGACAACACTCAGAACAATGGAACCCCCAGGACTTAACAGGGATATTGGTTTCTTATCTCACTATGCTAACCTCATCCAGTCCTTACATCTGTATTCCCACCAACCCTCCCGGAAGGGCTAAAACTCCTCTTGATTTTATTACTTAGTTGGAATGGTTGGTTAGAATTGTAGATTATAATGTCATGTTATGAACAGCAGAATGTAATGTAATGTGGAATGGTAGATGGGAATGTATTTCTCTGGTCCGGGGACAGGGAGATAACCCTACACACCCAGTCACCCCACTTCAAAGAAGAATATGCTGTGAAGTCATCTCCGTGCTTGAGGGAAGACAGAGGGAGTGTAACACCAGGGTCTCAGTTAATTACTCCCAGCATTCTACAATTAAGAAGGGTACATCTGCCCATCCGCCTCCGATTTTGATATATTCATTTCCTTCACTACGTCACCCCCCCCTCCCCCGGAATTAAACCCAGACAAATGGTGACCATATAAAGTAAGCTTGCTTTTCCAGTTTGGTCCTTGCATCTGTCAAACAACTTTATTAAGTTGTATGCTAATTTGCTGCTCACCCTTTACCTCTATATATGGGCTGGTAACTTCCATTTCATAGCATCATAGAAGGTTAGAGTTGGAAGGGACCTTGCAGGTAATCTAGTCTAACCCCCTGCACTCTGCAGGAGCATAGCCAAAAGATAGCCCTACAACATACCTGAAAGAGGGTCATCCAGCCTCCGCTTGAAAACGTCCAGCAAAGGAGCCTCCACCAGCTCCCAAGGCAGTCTGTCCCACTGCTTGACCACTCTCACAGTTAGGAAGTTTCTCCTGATATTTAGCCGGTATCAACTCCCTTGTAATTCCCACCCGTTAGATCTAGTCTTGCAATCCGGAGCAAGAGAGAATAGATCTGCTCCATCTTCTACACGACAGCCCTTCAGATACTTGAAGACTGCAATCATGTCCCCTCTAAACCTTCTCTTTCAACATATCTGAAGAAGAGTGTGTGCTCGTAAAAGCTTGTACCTTGAATGAAACTTCGTTGGTCATAAAGGTGCCACCGGGCTCAAACTTTTTTGTTTTGCCCCAAGGCTGAGTGTGATAAAGAGATGCTTTCCGCCAAATCTAAATGTCTTGCGAGTATCTATCTTTGGAGCCACGAAGCTCCTGCCCCAAAATCATGCTGTCCGAAATGTGGTGTCAGCACAGGAAATCCACAAGGGGATGGTTTTTCGGCGCCGGATTTCAGCTTTGTGAGAAATCTCTGGGTTGTTGGGGTTTTTTTGCCGTAAGCAAAGTTGCAGCGCCGGCGGTGGCAAAGCTCAACTTGGGAAACAGATAGAGGGTGTCTAGCAGTGCCTCGGAAGCGACAAGTAAGATCTCCAGTAGAATTTTTGTGACGTTCGCCCGAAAGGAAGTCGCCAGTGGTCAGAGGCAAAGCTTCATCGGTCTTTAGATAGAGTTCCCAACAGGCCTGGAAGGGGGGGGGGGGAATGTCATGTCTCTTCAATAGCAACGTAACAGGATGTTATTTATAGTCTGCCTTTCCGACAGAGACTTAAGGTGGATTATACATATTGAGTCAGTACAATCAACAAAATGCGACATTCAATAAGCGACGCATTTGGATTTGAGAAGTCTGGAACCACCAGTTTGGTGCAGTGGTTAGGTGCGCGGACTCTAATCTGGGAGAACCGGGTTTGATTCCCCACTCTTCCTCCACTTGCACCTGGCTGGATGACCTTGGGCAAGCCTTAGTTCTGATAAGAGCTGTTCTTGAAAAAGAGCCAGTTTCTGTCAAGAGCTCTCTCAGCCCCACCTGCCTCACAGGGTGTCTGTGGTGAGGAGGGGCAGGGCAAGGAGTTTGTAAGTCGCTCTGGGACTCCTTCGGATAGTGAAGGGCGGGGTATAAATCCAATCTCTTCTTCTTCTCTTCTTCAGAAGGAACTGAAGCAGAGTGTAAGCGTTCACAGGATACAGAGGTAGAGAAATTATTCCAGTTGGATCCTACATACAGTAAGCTACACACAGCAGTATAGTTCACCGTCCCTAACAGCGCTCCCTCTAAGCTGTGGACTCTTGTGAGCAAAAATTCTACTTTGTGAGCAACTGGTGTTAAAGTTGTGAGCAAGCAATTTGACTGCTGCATAAACTAGTTTGCTCTGGAGCCCTCCTTCCTGAGCTAAGACAAAAATGCGCGAGCCGGAGGCTAAAAAACCGTGAGCTAGCTCACGCTTAGAGGGAACACCGGTTTCCTAATTATCCAAACAAGTTTGTAAAACCATTTGGTACAGGGCAACCCTGTTAGCTGTGCAGAAAATCCCCCTCGAATAGCTCAGTCCTGCCCGTTTCTACACATTTAAGCCTCTGAAAGAGGCATATCTCTCCCCCACCAGGCCTGTTGGTAACCTGTTGTGCTTATGGTCCCTCCCTGTGACAAAATCAGAGGGAAATGTCAGTAAGAGAAGTTGTAGCCACAGGTCCGTAGCTGGGATTTTGTGGCTTGCGGACAGGGGTCATTTCCTGCAGGAGCGCACAGGAACGGAGCTCCAGCAGTAAAGAGCCCAGGGGGCAGGCACATGCAACAAGCCCCACCCCCTGCTCCCAGCAGCCCTCAGTCAGAGCAAGAAGCAGCCAGGTAAGTTGCAGAGCTCCCCCCGGCCCAAAACTGTCCATTGGCACCTTTAAGACCCACGTTTTATTCAGGTACAAGCTCTCCCTCCTCTGTGAGGACAGATCTGCATCCCCCCCAACAGCTAGCAATCCGAAACAGTCCAGTGGAGCCTGATGAGCGGTGGGTGTTGCCTTCCGACACACTTCCGGTGATGTCAGGGGGTGTGGCATATGCAAATGAGTTGTGCTAATGAGTTGTGCTAATGAGCTCCTGCACCTCTTTTTCTACGAAATGACCCCTGCTTGCGGGGCAAATTGTTTTCACTGGGGCTGAAGTTCTCAATACAGAAGGAAAAGCCATTTAGCCAACAGAAAGGTGTTACCAGGATAGATCTCTCAATTGCAAGCTGCCAACAACTTTCGATGACAGTTCTCAGCTGCTGCAAGTTAATCACTTCTGCCAAACTAAGCAGCAGTTCTGGTAACAAGCCAGCAGGTGGGGGGGTGATGATTTCTGTAGTCAAGAAAGCGAACACTTGGGAGGCAGAAAAAACTCTCTTAAAGGAGACCAGTTTCTCGACACAGAGTTAGAAGGGACCCTAGAGGTCACAAACTCCGACCCCCTTGCTCAGTGCAGGAATTAGTCCACCCCACTCTGCTTAAAAGAGCACACACCTTTAAAAAATGTTTAAAAATGGTTTTAAAAAGCATTTACAGGAGAAATTCTTGTGGGGCTGTGCCATTAAGATAGGGGGCAGAGCCCCCAAAAGTCCCACCGTAGCTACAGGCCCATTTAGCCAGTCGCTTAATTCTGTGATTATATGGAGCCGCTCTATCAGTCCAGCGTAGCCAAGGGCCTGCAGTGTCTCATGTAGGGTTACTGTACTCAGCGGGGAGAGTCTAAGTTAAAAAAATGCGGAACTTGAACCCAGGATCTTCGGCACGAAAAATGTGGGTCCTTCCCCAGAGCTGCGGTGCCTCTCCAGAACTTCGCCTCCTTGCTTGGGTGCTGAACCCAGGTGCCCCCCAACGGGGCCGCCAGATTTCCCTCTCTTACACAGCGACCAAAATGGCAAAGATCCTTTCCTCCTAGCCACCTTGGGGACTGTCCTCCGGGATGAGGGCAAAACGGATGTGGAGAGAATGGGGCGGGTGCAGAGGAGAGCGACGAGGAGGATCGGGCGCCCGGAGGCCAAGAAGCCCTGCGAGGAAAGGCCGAGGGACTTCTTGGAAATGTTCTGTCCAGAGACGAGGAGGTTGGGGGGGGGAGGAACATGACTGTTCTCTTGAAGTCTTTGAAGGGCTGTCCCTTGGTGCTGCGGTGGCTCAAGTGGTTAAGACGCTGAACTGCAGGGTGTGGAAGGTCGGTAGTTCAGCAGTTCAAGACCCGAGTGTGCCGCATGACGGAGTGAGCTCCCGCCTCTAGTTCCAGCTCCTGCCAACCTAGCAGTTCGAAAGCAAGAAATTGCAAGTAGATAAATAGGTACCACTTCGGTGGGAAGGGAACAGCGTTCCGTGCGCCTTGGCATCTAGTCATGCCGGCCACATGACCACGGAAATGTCTTCGGACAGCGCTGGCTCTTCGGCTTTGAAACGGAGATGAGCACCGCAACCCTAGAGTCGGATTCGACTGGCTTTCGAGCAAGGGAACCTTTACCTTTACTTTTACCCTTGGAGGAGGAGGGCAGGGAGCTGTTCCTGTTGGCAGCAGAGGACAGTACTCACAATACTGGGTTTAAATTGTAGTAGTGATTTATTGCGTTGACCATAGGTCGCAACAATATAAAAAAAAGTGCATAAAATCCCACGATAAAACTCCAAGGTACATACAAACTAAATGAACATATGGGAAAAGTTATATTTTTGCTTGCAGATAAAGATCCGTATGTTTCTAACGGAGTCGCTTTGCTTGCATTGGTGGCTAGATCAGTTCGATCGAACTGTATGGAAATGAACACGACCTAATTTGGGTTGAAAGGAAGGGCGGGAAGGTACCGGCTGGATATTAGGGGAAAGTTTTTGACAGTCAGAGTGGTGCAACAGTGGAGTCGGCCGCCTAGGGAGGTGGTGAGCTCCCCCTCACTGTCCGTCTTGAAGCAGCGGCTGGACAGACCCTTGTCAGGAATGTTCTAGGCTCATCCTGTACTGAACAGGGGGCTGGACTAGATGGCCTCTGGGAACCCTTCCAACTCTTTGGTCCTATGACTCTATGACCACGCGAAGCAGCCTTACGGAAGGTACCTGCGTTGCGAGCCCTCTTTGCCGAGTCCAGCAGCCGCTCTCAGGGGCTTCCCAACTCTTTCAGGTTGACACCCCAAAGTGATCGTGGCTGTGTGTCCTAACCCTGAATAGTTACAGAGGGTCCCTGGATCTGTTTGCAGTACAAGAGCTTGGCTGCGAGTCCAGTAGCCACTTAAGAGACCAACGGGATTTTTTGGAACGCAAGCTTTGAAGAGTCAAATCAGTCTAGCTCTTCTAACACCCAGTAGGCAGTAAGGGCGCAGACTCTAATCTGGGAGAACCGGGTTTGATTCCCCCACTCCTCCACATGCAGCTGCCGGTGTGACTCTGGGTCAGTCACAAGTTCTCTCAGAGCTGCTCTCTCACGGGCAGTCCTCGAAAGAGCTCTCTCAGCCCCACCTGCCTCACAGGGTGTCTGTTGTGGGGAGGGGAAGGGAAAGGAGTTTGTAAGCCGCTTTGAGACTCCCCCGGGTAGTGAAGGGCACGGTATAAATCCAATCTCCTCCTCCTCCCCATGCAGCTGCCGGTGTGACCTTGGGTCGGTCACAAGTTCTCTTGGAGCTGCTCTCTCAAGGGCAGTCCTCGAAAGAGCTCTCTCAGCCCCACCTCTCAGGGTGTCTGCTGTGGGAAGGGGAAGGGAAAGGGGATTATTTATTTATTTACCTTATTCAATTTATACTCCACACTCCCCGCCAAGGAAGGCTCAGAGTGGCTTGTATAAAAATGCATATATAAATACAATTAAAATTATTCATAAAACACCATAACTCAAGTAAAAGTGAGAGAGCAGAAGTTTCAAACATTGAGCAGTATTAAGCAGTCTTACTTAGGCGACAGTCGTGACGGTATTCTTACACCAGCTTAGTTGATCTGTTTATATATGCGGTGGGCACAGGCTGTAGGTTGTAGGCCAGGGCACATGATCACTTCTCAGACGTTTGGTGCGGCTCCTAATCAAAGGCCTGGTGGAAGAGCTCCGTCTTGCAGGCCCTGCGGAACCGTAGGAAGTCCCGCATAAGAACATAAGAGAAGCCAATGTTGGATCAAGCCAAAGGCCCATCCAGTCCAACACTCTGTCACACAGTGGCCAAAAATACCAGGTGCCTTCAGGAGGTCCACCGGTGGGGCCAGGACATTAGAAGCCCTCCCACTGTTGACCCCCCCAAGCACCAAGAAGACAGAGCATCACTTGCCCCACGCAGGGCCCTGATCTCTTCCGGGAGCTCATTCCACCAGTATGGAGCCGCCCCCGAGAAGGCCCTGACCCTGGTTGTCGCCAGCCGGGCGTCTTTGGGGCCTGGGAGGGCCAACCGGTTTTGGGTCCCTGAATGCAGTGCTCTCTGAGACTCCTTCGGGGAGTGAAGGGCGGGGTATAAATCCAATCTCCTCTTCCTCCTCTTCTTCTGCCCCTCTTCCCGCATGGCTTTGCAACCGTCCCGCCCAACTTGCTGTTTCTACTCTTTCCTCCCTCTCAACAGCACAGCCTGACGCAGACAGCGCAGTGCCTTCTGGAGCGGCTCCGGGTGAAAGCGGCCAGCCTAGCGGCCCAGCGTGACCTACAGGCCCCGGATCCCAAGGGTCAGGACGTTGACGGGAAGGAGCGTCCCAAGGAGTGAGGGGCTCGGCGGGCCCGGCCTGCGTGTGCATTCCAAGACTGTGTTTTCGCTTTGGTTGTACGAACCGACAAAAAAATCTGCATAGTGGTGGCTCTCCAAGGGAACCTTCTGATCTGATGGTCCGGGGGGGGGGGAACGTGAGGAGGGGGCAGACTTGGTGCCCCTCAGGGCCTTTCTAGGCTGAGTCTTGAACCGCAAGAGAAGCCAGGCAGGAAGTGATACCTCTGGGACACAGGAAGCAAACCTGGAGTCACGGTGCTTCCTAGGAACTCTCGTTCTTTCTTGCCGAGGAGGTTGGCCGGAGCGAGGCCTCACCAAGAAATCTGCAAATGCGGGGCGTAGATCGGTAATTAAAAGCACTCTCCTATCTGTGTGTCTGTGTGATGGACGCGAGTCTAGACCAAGATGGAGATTAGGCTTCTTAATTTCCTATCGCAGTTTGCTTTCCCAGCTGCTGCTTACAGGCGGCGGTAATATCAGGACGCTAAAACAGATGCAATAAAACCCCGATAAAGTGATGAAAACATCAGATGGGGAGGGGCCGTGGCTCAGTGGAAGAGCCTCCGCTTGGCATGCAGAAGGTCCCAGGTTTACTCCCAGGTATCTCCTGTTTAAAAGGACCAGGCAAGAGGTGATGGGAAAGACCTCCGCCTGAGACCCTGTGAGAGCAGCTGCCAGTCTGAATAGGCAATACCTGAGAAACTGGAGAGCAGATGCCAGTCTGAGTAGACAATACCTGAGACCCTGTGAGAGCAGCTGCCATTCTGAGTAGGCAATACCTGATATCCTGGAGAGGAGCTGCCAGTCTGAGTAGACAATACCTGAGACCCTGGAGATGAACTCTCCAATGCAAGAACAAGATGCATTTCTTCCTTTAGGAGGTGCTATTGTCAGAAGAAAATAAAAAGGTTTCAGTTTTGTTTTTGCATGTGGGTGGGTATTCTGTTTGTAATAATTGTTTGGATACACTGTTTTTAATATGCTAGTTGTGATAATTTCATGCCAAGTAAAAATGTCCATAGTCATATTTATGTTCCTAAAGTAACAGAATGACTTCCAATCTAGAAAAGACAAAAGAAATGCTAATGTAGCATTTGTTTCAATTTTTCCGAAAATTTCCATTTCCCCCCGGAAAAAAAATGGAAAACCCTGGGTTTTTTCCGAGCTTCAAATTTTCCAGAAATTTTACATCTCTAGCCATTTTCCTGCCTCTCTCCTAAGAACTGACAACATCATATCGTTTAATTATGCAGGCACAACAAATAAAGGGTGCTGTCCTAAGGCTAGCAATGTAGGGTGGTAACCAGTTAGTGTGAGCTAGCTCAGTTTTTTAGCCTCTGGCTCACCCATTTTTGTCCCGGCTCAGGAAGGAGGGCTCCAGAGCAAACTAATTTATACAGTAGCCAAATCGCTCACTCACAACTTTAATAGCTCACAAAGTAGAATTTTTGCTCACAAGACTCCACAGCTTAGAGGGAACATTGGACTGGTAACTAAGTCTCCCACCAGCAGAACTTAGAAATAGCCAACAGACTGCTGCCACAGAGTCACACACGTGTAAACGTAGCAGAAATAGGTGGTGTCAGGGACATGCCTGGGAAACAAGAGCAGATTATTTTATATCCCAAAGAACCCCAGCCCACGATCAGGCCCTGGTGTAATGCTCTGCCATTAAGACATATAAGAACCTCCTTGCTGGAGACTAATCCAGCATTCTGCTTCCAACTGCAGCCAAGCAGGAGCTTCTTGAAAGGAATCAACCACTGTTTGTCAGCAGCATTTAGCATTGGGGGTTATATGGCTTCTAAAACTGAAAGGTCCATTTTATTTACCATGGCTACTAGCCATTAATACACGAATACTATTAATACATGAATACTGACCATCCACAACAGGATTTCTGGCTATTGCCACATTCTGCGATAATGATTTCCGCAAATACAACCTGACACATCTTTTTCAATTTCCTGTACCTGTTGCCTATCAACTGCACTCACTGACCCTGTATCTACTCATTTTTTCGGCCCCATCTGACCGCAGATTCTAGGGTGTCTACCACATTTCTACCCCCTTCTTTCTCCAAGGGTGGTATATTTGGTTCTTCCCTTTTCCATTTTATCCTCACAATCACTCTGTGAAATAAGATAGACTAAGAGACAGTGAGTGGCCCAAGGTCACCCTGAAAACTTCAGGGTTGACTGGAGATTTGAATCTGGGTTCCTTAGCTCCAGTTTGGCACTACACCACACTGGCTTTCTAGCCCGTTCCTTTCTTCCTTCCATAATAACTTCTGAATCCCAGCAGGCTTGCAAAACACCCATCCCTACTCTATCACTAGGTCCTGTAGAGAATTGCTACAAAGTGACAGTCTTTCCCAATTCTTATTCAGCAGCTATTTACAAGTTACAGTGAACACATACAATCCGTGTACAGCGGACACTTGATTCTTCTTTATACATGTGTTTAGTTACTGTTTATATTACGGTCTTAAGACCGACATACAGAGTAAGCATAATATGTGAGGGAGAGGGGGAAAAACCCAGTCATAATATACAAAACTTTTTCTCTTCTGCTAGCTGTTTTTATTTATTCATTCATTTATACTCCACCTTTCCATCCACAGGGCCCCCAAAGTGGCTTGTATCATTCTCCTCCATTTTACCCTTACAACAACCCCGTGAGGGTAAGTTAGGCTGAGGAAATGTGGTTGGCTGACGGTCGCCCAACAAGCTTCCATGGCACATGTGGGGATTCAAACCTGGGTCTCCCAGACACTAGCCCGGCACTCCTGACCACTACACCACACTGGCCCTCACTCTTGGAGGAAGTCAGTTTGGTGTAGTGGTTAAGTGCGCGGACTCTAATCTGGGAGAACCGGGTTTGATTCCCCACTCCTCCACTTGCACCTGGCTGGATGACCTTGGGCAAGCCGTAGTTCTGATAAGAGCTGTTCTTGAAAAAGAGCCGTTTCTGTCAAGAGCTCTCTCAGCCCCACCTACCTCACAGGGTGTCTGTTGTGGGGAGGGGAAGGGAAAGGAGGTTGGGAGCGGCTCTGAGACTCCAAATGAAGGGCGGGGTATAAATCCAATCTCTTTTTCTTCTCCTCCTCCTACCAGGGGATTTGGCAGGGAAAATGTGGGGGAACCTACCATGAAGAAACCCCTTTGCAACTGAGCTGTATTCAGCAGCCACAGCAGCAATGGGGGAACAGCACAAGCCAGTCCCCATGGGGAAAACACAGGAAACAGCTTGGGGGGGGGGAATCTCATATTTCTTTCTAAAGGTTTGGAGACTGGAGTTTAAGCAGGCCCTTTTAGAAAGAATATTCCACAATACTGAAGCCATGACTGAGATGGGTCTCCTAGGTCTCACCTATTGATTTTGCATCACACGTAGGTGTTTCTCGCCCGGATCACGGCCTGGCCTGGTGTTTGGACAGCTCCGCCCCCTTGGCCGGACTGCTTCACCGTCTTCCTGGCTGCTGCATGCCAGAGCCCCTTTTGACAGACTTCTCGCTTGCAGACCGTGGCCCGCACCGGACTCTCCCTCCAGACTGCCCTCTTCCTTAGGTTTAGAGCCAGTCTGGTGTAGCGGTGAGGTGCGCGGACTCTAATCTGGGAGAACTCTTCCTGGCTGCTGCATGCCAGAGCCCCTTTTGACAGACTTCTCGCTTGCAGACCGTGGCCCACACCGGACTCTCCCTCCAGTCTGCCCTCTTCCTTAGGTTTAGAGCCAGTCTGGTGTAGCGGTGAGGTGCGCGGACTCTAATCCAGGAGAACCGGGTTTGATTCCCCACTCCTCCTCCACATGCAGCTGCTGGATGACCTGGGGCGAGCCATAGTTTGACAAGAGCTGTCCTTGGAAGGGCAGTTCTCGAAAGAGCTCTCTCAGCCCCACCTACCTCACAAGGTGTCTGTTGTGGGGAAGGGGGAAGGCGTTTGTAAGCCACTCTGGGACTCCGAGTGAAGGGCAGGGTATAAATCCAACCTCCTCCTCCTCCTCTTCCTCTTCGTCCTCTTCTTCCTCCTCCTGCAGTCCAACACCTGACGGGACTCGTGCCTTGCATTCTCTTCCTGCTCGTGATGCTCTGTATTCTTGGTGCTTGGGGGTGGGGGCAACAGTGGGAGGGCTTCTAATGTCCTGGCCCCACTGGTGAACCTCCTGATGGCACTCGTATTTTTGGCCACTGTGTGACACAGAGGCAGTCCAACACCTGACTGGACTCGTGCCTTGCATTCTCTTCCTGCTCGTGCTGAAAATGTACTGTGAACTTGGGGCCTCTCTTGTCGACTCTTCCTACCACCAAAAGAAGACCCGTCTTGTTCAAGAACCACCTTCCTCCGTGGGGCAGAAAATAAAGCGACATTTGATTTCGTTCATTTATTTATTTTATTAGACTTACATCCTGCCGTCCTCACGTTGTGGGCTCAAGGCGGGTACCGGCGCGTATGTCTGCAATCCGTGCCGATTTACAGATTAAAACCCACTGCAGTGATTCATTCGAATCCATAAAACCATCAGCATTAAATCAACCAGGTCACCGGCATTTAAAACGACGACACGCCTCGGCAGCTGATCGTGTGGTCCCGATCCGGCTTCTAGGATCTGCAGTCACTGGAGGGGAGGCCAGATCAAAGCGGACGCCCGCTGCCTCGACCAAAGGCCCGGCGGAAGAGCTCCGTCTTGCAGGCCCTTCGGAACTGTACTAGAAGAAGAGAAGAAGAAGAGATTGGATTTATACCCCGCCCTTCACTTGGAGTCTCAGAGCGGCTTACAAACTCCTTTCCCTTCCCCTCCCCACAACAGGCACCCTGCGAGGTGGGTGGGGCTGAGAGAGCTCTGACAGAAACGGCTCTTTTTCAAGGACAGCCTGTGCCCGAGCTTGTGACTGACCCAAGGTCACATCAGCAGCTGCAAGTGGAAGAGTGGGGAATCAAACCCGGTTCTCCCAGATTAGAGTCCGCACACTTAACCACTACACCAAACAGGACCCTGATCTCATAAGGGAGCTCCTTCCATCAGGCAGGGGCCAGGTCTGAAAAGGCCTTGGCCCTAGTTAAGGCAGGTCGGACATCCCTGCGGCCAGAAACTACCAAGAGGTGCTGGATCGTAGAACCCAATGTTCTCCACCGGAGGAGGTCACGATGGCCGCAGGAATCAACAGCTTTGAAAGGGGATGAGAGCAATTCATGGAGGATAGGTCCATCAGCGGCTACTGGCCACGGTGGCTGAGGGGAACCTCCGTGTTCAGATAGATTCAGATGGGTAGCTGTGTTAGTCTGTAGCAGGAGAAAAGAGCAAGAGTCCAGTAGAACCTTAAAGACTAAAGGTTTGGGGCAGGGTGGGAGCTTTCAAGAAT